AGTCCTTTGTTGATATCAGCCAACACGATGTTCCCAAAAGCCAGATTGGACCAGCCAACTCTGGGCCACTTCACCATAAGCTTGGGAAACAGGTTACACCAGCCACTCTGCCCTGGAGCCAGAGGCAGCACAAGAACTCTTCTTGCCTGTGGATCTGAGGTCCCTTTTCTTCATACCTTAGAAATCACATAAACTCATTTCTGCCCACTCTTGCCCCGCATGTTGCCAGGATGAACAAGGAAGAGAAGAAGAAATATGAAAGGCTGAGACTATAATGCAAGAAACTGAATGACTTTAATAATTACACTTTAGCAGAAAGCTCTTGAGACATGGCTGATAAAAAAGAAGTTCAGCTCCTATGCTACAACTGAGAAAATAATAGTCACCAGGGGAAAACCTCAAAGCTACATACAGTATTAAAATGTCTGATTGGGGGCTGGCAAGACAACTCAGTGGGTGGAAGTACTTGCATCCAAACCTGATGTTGAGTTCAATCCCTGAGCCCACATAGTACAAGGACAGAACCAACTCTAATTCCAAACACGTGCTGTGGCTGCATCTACCTATGTACCTCTCTCTTGCTCCCCCCTCAACATTTATCAAAAATAAAAAATAAATACATAGATGATATAAAACATTGGATTCTACTATATTATGCAAATAGATCAGAACAATAGGAACAATAATAATATTAAAATAGGTGATTTTAATTAATGAATGTTTCCTGGCTAGAATGCTAGTGCATAGTTTCCAATTTACTAGATATGGTCCAGTTTTATTTAATCAGTGGGTTTACAGAATAGCAATAACTTAGTGGTGTGGGAGAAATAGATATTATAGGTGATGATGACATACTGTAAACTATTATTTGTGTTTTAATAACGGATCTCTTTCCTGGTTGTTTGAATTATTTGAACAAAAAGCAAGTATGAAGACAATTGATCATATTTGTCTTTGATAAAGCTGCCATATAAACACCATTTATATAACCACCTGTGGCATGCATCAGCTTTAATTCTTAGACCAAACGCAGTATCCCATTTTATGATGGACGACAGTGAGGCTGAGAGAGGCTAAAATTACACTGGACTACTTGGTTAATAACTCCCAGAACTGAGCTTCAAGTCCAGATGGTGATGACTTCCTAGGAAGATTGTTGTGTTTTCATTTTGACTTGCTGTTTTCTGTTGCTATAGACACAAAGATGTATACGCCTTTTAATTCCTGTGTATTTCGTCCTTGAACTTGCACAGAAACAAACCCTGAGCACCCACAGAAAAGGCAATATTGACAGGAGTAAAGCCTGAAAACAAGCTCCACAAAAACACCCTTGAGTACCAAAAAGGTACTTTTTCTCTGTAGGACAGAGAAAAGAAATGACCTTTTCTCCATGCCAAAAATTCAAACTTCCCCCAAAAGAAACTGAAAAACTGCCTTGTGCAGAGTAGGCAAGCAATAGATGTGTGTCAGTTTGTCTTTTAAGGATTAAAAAAACAATTGGTTAACCTTACTAGAGTTCTGTTTCCAACAGAGTTGATTTATTTTTTTCTGCTAATAACTGTGTGGAGGTTTCTGTGCCTTTGTTCCTGATGAACCCAATGCGAATATGAGATCCTAAGTTTACCTGACAGCTTTAATCTCACAGACTCACAGCTGCAATAGCCAAGATATAATAATTTCATGATTATTCCCAGTTAAGTAAATTGAAATTAAATCCAATTGGCAGTATAAGGCCACCTCATATCTTCTGGTGGATACAAGGTTTTTGTTATTCTAATTATATCATTTATATGGATGGCTTAAAAAGAAGGAAATAAATGATTTCATATTAATAAATTCATATTAAGTTTAAAAACAGACTTTACACTTAAAATCTAGAGTTGATCAAATAAGACAAAAGAGATTAGAAAGAAATAAGCATGTATCAAATAAATGAATTCATTATGTAATATTCTGTTCCGTTACTCCATCTAGTTATATATAATACATCCATTTATTTGATCTGATTATGTAACACATAGTGATATGTACATCTATAAGTCCATACAGATATAATGGATTTACTTATCTGATATTATTATTATTATTATTTTTTTTTTGTTTTTTCGAGACAGGGTTTCTCTGTGTAGCTTTGCGCCTTTCCTGGAGCTCACTTGGTAGCCCAGGCTGGCCTCGAACTCACAAAGATCCGCCTGGCTCTGCCTCCCGAGTGCTGGGATTAAAGGCGTGCGCCACCACGCCCGGCTACTTATCTGATATTATATGCTTAATATATTTTGTGTACTTTAAGCAAATCTTGCCAAGAATATTCACTGAAGTGTTAATAAAAGGTGTCTGTAAATTGCAGGATTCTAGATAACTTGATTTCTTTCTGTTTATTCATGTCTGAATCATTCTGAGTTTTCATAAGTGAGTATATTTTTGTAAAAAATTTTTCAAAAATAAAAACCACACATCTGTATAACAACCAGCCAACTATATTCTATTTCAAACTTTACATCAAACAGGAACTATCCATTGAATATATTATGTGCCCAATATATGGATACCATGGTATTTTTCCAAACTCCTGCTCTCTCTTCATAAACCCATGACTAAGTTAACAGCAACTTGTTGAGATCAGGCTGTGCCCTGCCCTAAGGTACTCCATATCATGTGAAACTCATTTTTCACACTGTGCCTTGCCTTGAGAGACTGTTTCCCAAGCAGCTCTTGCCTCTCCTTTGAGGATGCAGGATGACCCTGCACCTGGGTGGACCTGTGATCACACCATCGGTCTGGCACCACTCCTGGGGCACAGACTGATAAATGACTAGTCCCTATAAATTTATTAGGGCAAATTGGGGCTATAGGAGCACATAAACTTGTATCAGAAAAAAAGAAAAAACAAAAAGCCGGGCCTCAGTACCAGACACACTGGACAGAGAATAGGATGTGACTCCCTCTCCTGCACCTGCTCAAACAGTGGACACCCTAATGTAATAGTTCTAGTTTGTGACCCCAATAGCATGTCTAATGGACAATGAGGGATGAAGCCTGCGGACTCCAGAGAGAGAGAGAGAGAGAGAGAGAGAGAGAGAGAGAGAGAGAGAGAGAGAGAGAGAGAGAGAGTTCAGCCAGATTCCTTCCAAGCAGCAAAGCCTGTACACCTTTAATAACAGGAGTGAGCAAGATGGCTCAGCCAATGAACGTGCTCGCCACCAAGCCTGACCACCTGAAACCCGAGTAGCAGAAAGGGAACTGACTCTTACACATTGTTCTTTGACCTCCACATGCGCTATTAGATAGCAGTTTCTCCTGAGATAGAAACCTTCCATCTAAAAGGCAAGCAAACAAACAAAAACAAAACAACAACAAAAGAAACCTTCCATCTTGGAGGGATGTCAAGACAGTGTATGTGTGTGTGTGTGTGTGTGTGTGTGTGTGTGTGTGTGTGTGTGTGTGTGTGTGTAAAATAGGATATTTTAAGACAGGATTTTTGTTGTTTATTCGAGACAGGGTTTCTCTTTGTAGTTTTGGTGCCTATCCTGGAACTCCCTCTGTAGACCAGGCTGGCCTCGAACTCAGAGATCCGCCTGGCTCTGCCTCCTGAGTGCTGGGATTAAAGGCATTAAGACAAGATTTTTAAAAGGAGGTAAAATAGGATGCTCTAAGGGGGAGCTCCCTAACACACAGGATGTTTACAGGGAAACTTGCTAAGCTCATGGGGTAAGCAACTCCTGGTTTCAGGAAGTTTCTGAAACTGACCAGATTCTCTAGGGCAGTGGTTCTCAACCTTCCTAATGCTGAGACCCTTTAAGGCAGTTCCTCATGCTGTGGTGACCTCCAACCATAAAATTATCTTCATTGCAACTTCATAACTGTAATGTTGCTACTGTTGTGAATCATAATGGAAATACCTGTGTTTTCTGATGGTCTCTGGTGACCCCTGTGAAAGGGTCGTTTGACCCGTGAAGGGATTGCAACCCATAGGTTGAGAACTCCTCCTCTAGGCCCTTCTCTCCCCCAAGCATGGATAAAGCAGTAAAGACAGCTGAGACAGACTCTCAGATAAGCTGAGCTACCTAGAAGCAGCAGAAACCAGCCAGGCTGCTTGAAAACGGACTCCGGCCAACAGAGCTGTCCAGCCAAAGGACAGTCTCCAACCGATGGAGCTCCCTGCAAGCTGTGTGGTGTGTCCAGGGTTTCCATCGCTGAGTCATTTCTGTTCCCGTAAGGAACCCCCTCACCCACAGTGCCGTAAGGAACCCCAATCACACTCAGCGGATCACTTAGTTGCATTGGGGTAGTACTGTTACCTCCTTCGGCCGTCATTTCCCCGTCTAGGGAGAGAAGATGTTTCTTCCCAGGAACAGTGTCACACAACATGCCCTGTGATATGACACCCCCCCCCAATAAATGTGATTTTAAAAATAATAAATGGCTACGGCACAAAGAGAACCGTGGCGGGGAAAGGCTAACTTCGTTCCTCCTGGTGCACAAGGGGACTGATTTCTTCCCGCCAGCTCTGAAGCGCTCTCATGTTCATGCAGTTCCCTGAAGGTCATGGGGCAGATGGCCTTCGACCTGTGGAGCATCAACTAATATCATGAGTGTTGTCCAAAGAGCTTTTGGTCTTGCTGGGGCCTGTGCCTAACTGCTTATGCACCTACCTATCTCACCATCATGGTGATGGCCCCACCAACCCGTTGTCTATACCATCTGGTGTGTGTGTGTGTGTGTGTGTGTGTGTGTGTGTGTGTGTGTGTGTGTGTAGGGACCAACTGCCGCAGTGACTTTAGCTCAGTGTCTGCTGTTGATGTTGCCTGTTTACTCGCTACCTGCCTATCCTGTTTACCCTTCTGGACATGTCATCCACTTGTCTACTCACTGTCCTGACCTGATCCTGCCCTTTCACCTGAGCAGCTGGACTCAGTTCTGCTGCTTTGCGCGCAAACCCATAACCCAGCATTAAGTCTGACTCAGCAGCAGCAGCAGTAGCAGCAGCCTCTCCAGCAGAGCCAGATTAATTAAATTGTTTATGTAAGATTCAGCTCTGCCATGCTGTCATAATGATTACAGTAATACGTCTAAGTGGTTGGTAGCGGGAACTCAACTCGGAAAAGCAGAAGTGTTTAGGTAACATAGGGCATAGGGCAGGTTCCTAGGAAACAAATCCTGAAATGGCCGTCTTGGACATGGGAAGTTCCCGGATCATCAGGAACGACAGCCATAGGAAGTCAAGAAAGAGCAGAACTGGACTGGGGAGAGCTGTGATGCAGAACCTGCAGATGTCTCCACCAATCCTGAAATCTCCGGAGTCGAGATGGCACTTAGAAATTCCTAAATGTGATGGTCCCAGTGGCGCACATCTTGAATCCCAGCACCTGCGAGGCAGAGGCAGGCAGATCTTTGAATATGAGGTGAGTCTTGTCTACAGAACAAGTTCTAGTTCAACCATTGCTACCTAGAGACGTCCTGCATCAATCAATATCAACCATTTCAATCAATCGATCAATCAACACCAACATCCCATGAAAATTCAGGGACTGTTAAGCTCCTGAACCCTCTGAGTGGTTATTAAAGTCAGCTATCCTCAGGTTTGTGACATGAGTGAGGCAACTTCCTTCTGCCAAGGGTAATTTCTGGAGAATTCCTGGACAAGTCAACCCTGAGCTGAGCCTTGTCCTCCCAGAAGCTGAAGGCATGGGGGTGCCTGCTGCCCCATCACTGCCGGGAACCAGGTAATAGGAGTACCACGTCCCAGCAGTCATAACACACTTGATTATGTCAATCAGAGTCACTTGTTCCATACATTTATTTGCTATGAGGACAACTCCTTGGGTTCCGTTAATCTTTCTTTTTTTCCTTATCACTAGCTTTCAGTTCCCCCTCCTCCTCCTCTTCCTCCTCTTCTTCCTTCTTCTTGTCGTACTGTCTCCTTACACAGTCCTAGGCCGCCCTTAAACAACTCAGTCCTTCTACTTCATCTCTCAAATGCTGGGATGACTGCCATGTGCCACAATGCCTGGCTAGAGATACCCATCCCAATCTCCTCCTCTCTTACCTCCATCCAGTGCTGAGGATGAAACCTGGGGCTTCATGCTTAGCAGGCGAGTGCTCCCCCACTGAGCTACAGTCTCCTAGGATTCGGACTGGCTTCGTTCGGTTCCTGGGAAACTTGACAAAAGGAAAGGTAGTGATCGTTTATTGCCAGCATCACAGCATATCTCAAGGCCATTTCTGTCACTCACTGTCTCAGTCAGATAGGGCACCTTGCATCTATCTGACTTTAGACTGCCCATGTCCTCAACCCACACCTCTGTGCTCCAGGTTGCTAACATCTCAGGGCAGCCCAGAATCTCATCTCCCAGCGATCTGTTGTCACCCTCTCCTTCCAGATCAGAGTAGTTATGTCTGTCGCTTTATCATTACCAGCGATAATGGGCTGAGCTTGGCAGGTCATGCCTCTCATCCCTACACTAGGCAGGGGGAGGAAGGAAGAGCATAAACTGCATACCAGCAAGAACCTCTCTCAACAGACAGACAAAATAACGGAACAAGGGCATTAAAGAAAATATTCCCCAGTGATGCTTGTTGGGAGACAGTAAGGTAGACTATATTCAGGACTATCATGATGGCCACAGGAGATTTCTGCAAAGGGATTTTACAGAGGAAGAGAGAGAGGGAGCATTAGATGGCATCAACTCCTACCTAGATCATGGGCAAGTGAGAACTGATAGGAGTCAGGTAGGGTTAGTAGATGGAAGAATTACTTAGAAAGCATTCGGCTTAGTGGGGCTCTTATGGCTAGATCAACCCACCAGGATTCTCGTTGAAAACAGTGGGTAGAGATTAGACATCACCTAAAAGATAGTGGAAGAAAAAGAACTACATCAGAGATGCAAAGTACCCAGATGTTGTAGGCAAGGGGGTTCTTGCTAAATTGACTTGGCAGAGCTCTTTGCAAAGACTGGATTTTCTAGGGGACGGATTAGGAGATGGACCAAGTTTGACCAAGCGAAAAGTCATTATCAGGGCCCTCAAAGACGCTTGGTGGTGAACCCATTGCTTCCTGCTCAGCTGTGAAAAGTAAGTGCTATTTCCTCCTGGTGAGTAAGTTCAGTTCCCCTTCAGGATGCTGATTCTTTTGTTCTCCTGTCAGCAAAAGGAACCCTAAGTAACTTGCACAGCATTTAGAGCTGGAAATGCAGCGGGGCTAATAACACACTCCCCTTTCAAATAACCTCCCATTGCTATAACTGGGGACGAGAAGTGGGAGGCTGGCGAGGGGCAGGGGGGTGGGGGGGAGTGAGGACCAAGCTTCCATTCGGAGCTGCTTCTTCTTCTCATAGGGTAGGTTTTACAGCTGTGTGTGGGGGTGGGATAGGATGGGGGAGTCATGGTAACATATCTGGTCATTAACTTAGGGTATAACCCCCGTTCTGCAACGTGGAGACCATTCTGTGCAAGATATCATGTACAAGTTGATACATGTCTGTTCTTTCCAAGGCCATCTTATTACTCTCGAGTCAACAGCTTCTGGAGGTGTGGCTTCGGAGGGGTCCAGTAAGACAAGTCTCTTTTTCTGCAGTGAGGTTATTCCAGGTTGGAGACTACGAGCCCTCAGATATTGATGCTGCTGAGGCTCTGTGGGCAAGAAAGCAAATGTCCACCCATAACAGGTTTGGTTGTAGTAAGATGAATCACTTTCGTTATCCCAGCGCCTGACGGATGCTCTATCAGCAGGAGCTCACCCCAAATTTCTGTGGCTGTCAGGTTAGAGAGCTGGACTTGTTAAATGGAAGCACATGGTATGGGCCTATTACAGTCACAATGGCCACGTGGTTCCTTAAGGCAGGGTACCACACCCTGGTTGCTGGTTGGAATGCTGTCTCTCCTATCAGCAGACTGGGTCCCTTTGTTTATTTGATCATCTGGTGCCTAACTCACAGTGGGTGTTTCCTGGTAGGTATTCACACATAATAATCCTTCCCATAGGCTTCATCATGTGCTTTCCACAGCCTCCCTCTTCCCAATCTTTTAAACGGTCTCCTTCCAAGGTCACGGCCTCCCCACCAGACCGACATCATTGCCCATGGGTTTAATGTTCATTATCAACTTGAATCTACTTCTCTCACACAAAGCAAAAGACCAGGTACATGAGCCTGAACTCTTCTCCAATAGAGTTCCAGTCATCAAATGCCTTAAGGTTGCCCTTGATTGGGGCTTAACTCAAAATTCATTCTTGTTTCGATTTTAATGTAGTAAGTTTCCCTCACAGGGCGCTGTTTGGGGAGGTCATGAAATCTCTAGGTAGGGAGGAAGTGGGTTAGAGAGAGGCAGGCCCTGAGGGCAAAAGCTAGCCTCACTTCGAGTTCTTCCTTCTATCTCTGCTGAGGTCAGCTGCTGAGGTAAGTGAGTAAGCCACTCTGTTCGCTTCCCACTGCCGGAGCTGCCCACCACATGCACCCCTTCCCAACCACGAAGGACCGTATCACCTGAATGGTGCCCAAATCCACCATTATTCTCTCAAGACTGTTTGTCAGGGCTTTGGTCACAGGACTGTGAAAGTAATGAATACAATTCTGTTCTGCAAAGGCTATTCCTAAATGAGTAAAAAGACAAGCCATGAGATGTCAGGCCTGGTAGCCTCCATCTGGAACAACCCTAGCACTTGGAGGCAGAGGCCGGAGGAGCGGGAAGGTCATCTTCAACTGTAGGAGACCCTGCTGTTTCAATACACACACACACACACACACACACACACACACACACACACACTGGAGGTGGGAGGAGGAAAGAACACAATTCATGGACTGTAACTTGTGAATCGTGTGCTTGATGATGAACTTACATCAAGAATAAAAGAGTTTCAAAAATCAACACTAAGAACCAGTTCAAGGGGCTGGAGAGATAGCTTAGCAGATAAGAGTGCACACTACTCTTGCCCAGGACTACACAGAGAAACCCTGTCTCAAAAGAAAGAAAGAAAGAAAGAAAAACTAAACAAATAAAAAGAATGTGTACTACTCTTGCGAAGGACCAGAGTTCAGATCCCAGTACTTACAACTGGCAGCTTGTAATTCCGTGTAACAACAGCTTAGTGGATCAGATCAGATTCCCTCCTCTGGTCTCCATATAGGCACCTGCACTCAACTGTACACACATAAACATAAACAAATAAAACAGTTCAACATACAAATGGAAACTTTTTAAACATTGGCTTTCACCATAGCCAAAATAAATACCCTCGTGGTAAGCAAATATGTGAGAATTTGCCTAGCATCCTTAGAAAAGTACAGGTTTGAATCACAGTGAGACACCACCATTCACCCATTAGACTGGCTTTAGAATTAGTCACAAGGATGTAAGAAAAATACTGTAATTTTATATACATTTTTTTAGTGGGAATGCAAAATAATATTACTGTTTCCGAACACCACTGGGAAATTCTTTGTAAATGTACACAACCCTACTCAGATATTTCATTGAAAAAGAATACCAGAAAAAAAAAATGATTAGAGATTTCCAGTTTAAAAAGAGGCTAAACATTTTCTAGCAGGAACCAACTGTTTGATCTTACTCCAAAACCAGTATTTAAAAATCAGTTTGGACATAATATAGACCATCTGTTTAAAATAGCTTTCTGATGATGTCACTAAAAATTGATATGCCTAGAAATGCATGGGAAAAAAGCTGGACTGGACTTCAAAGGGCTCACATGGTAAACTGTATAAATTGTATTTCTTTCTCTTCACACCTTGAAATACCATTTAAGTGAAGGGTACAGAGAAAACCCCCCACTTAGTTCTGAAACTGCTAAGCCTTCCATCACCCAGCCCACTGGGGATTCATGGAGGGGGAGGGGGAGAAGCAGGTTTTCCTGAAGATGATTTCCTCATCCTCCTGTGGACCCCTTCTCACTCCATCACAGTGGACCTTGTAGTTGGTTGAGATTTTTGTTTTGTTTTTGTTTTTTCTTTGAGGGGCCCACCACCCAGCTCCCAAATAAATACACAGAGACTTATTCCTACTTATGAATGCCCGGCCTTAGCTTGGCTTGTTTCTAGCCAGTTTTTTTGTTTGTTTGTTTGTTTGTTTTTGGTTTTTCGAGACAGGGTTTCTCTGTGTAGCTTTGTGCCTTTCCTGGAACTCACTCTGTAGACCAGGCTGGCCTCGAACTTGTAGAGATCCGCCTGCCTCTGCCAGTTTTTCTAACTTAAATTATCCCATTTCTCTTTAACTACATTTTGCCTCTGGTTTTTTTTTTTTTTTTTTTTTTTTTACCTTTCTTTCCTTCTTACTCCATGGTTGGTATATGACTGGGTGGCTGACCTCTGGTGTCCTCCTCTCCTCCTTCTCCTCCTTTTCTCCCTCCTCCCTGTTCTTCTCTCAAGCCTTGATTTCTCCTATATATTCTCTCTGTGTGCCAGACCCATGCTATTAGACCAATCAGGTGCTTTAGACAGGCACAGTAACACAGCTTCACAGAGTTAAACAAATATAACATAAAAGAATACAACACATCTTTGCATCATTAAACAAATATTCCACAGCATAAACGAATGTAGCACATCTTCAACTAACATTCCACAACAATACCTTACAGATCAGTGTTGTCCATTGCATCCTAGAGATGGGTCTTCATGCCAAAGGCCACAGTTGTGGGCAAGTGAAGCTTTCAGATGCTTCTTAGTAAAAAGAGGGGGCCAACTTTGTTGCTTCTCTTTGAAATTCATGGTATTGGGACTGTTTTTATTTTTAGATTTATTTTTAAATTACATGTATGTGTGTATATGTCTGTGTGGATACATGCATCAGAGTGTAGGTTTCTGTGGAGGCTAGAGGTTCTGGGAATGGAACCCGGGACCTCTGCAAGCACAGCAAATGCTCTTCTTAACTGCCATCTCTCCGGTTCTCCAAGGTATAATTTTGAATACACTAACTATGTTGGACCTTCGAGACTCTGAAGGCTGTAAGCAGCAGGCTTAGTTGAGGCATGGCAGGGGAGGGTAGAAAGACAGGACATTTCAGAACCTAGCACTTACACATGAAGCCATCTTGCAATTACTTTGGGTTGTAAGCCAGGCACGGAGCTGGAGGTTACAGAAGTTAAGGATGTGGAAGCAGGAGATTAGAGAACTGGCCGTTCATCGCATTAATGATGAACTTCATTTGATCACTCATGACTGAGGTACTGGCCTAGGGAGCGTGGTGATGAAGAAACACTTTCTATTGAATACAGAGCTAGCGGCTTAGGGGACTTAAAAAATGGGTACCGATTTTAGAGTTGAGTAGGTTTCCAATCCTAGATCCAGACATCTAGTATCAGTGCAACTTAGACGTTACTAAAACCATTTTTTTTTTTTTTTGGTCTCAATTTCCTAAATATTTTTGAAGGAGAAAAATACTTTTAACGCTTATTTCATAGGGTTGTCGTCATCAACGTGGTCATTAGTATAAACTTTTAGAAAAATGACTGGTCAGTAATTATCAACTATTTAAATACATACAGAGATTCATCCTTGAATGTCAGGTAGAAAATGCAACAAGGAAAAAGAATTCAGCTAAGAGGAGCACAGAAGAATACGTCAGATGCTGGAGGAACAGTTCTCTGAGAGGGTGGACATTGCAAACTTGGGGTTCAGAGAAGACACAGCCTGGGGCCAGAGCGGGAGTCAGTCCAGCCGCCAGGTGTAAGCAGGCGGTCCACACCAAAGACCCGGCGGCCAGAAGAGCGATGCATTCCCCTTTCTCCAGCCAGGTTGCAAACGGGTAGGAAACGCTCGCTCGGGGGCTGCCAGGAGCCCGCATCCGCCCACTGGGAATCCTCCTGCCGCAGGGAAGCCCAAGCGGGTCCCCAGGTGCCCCCTAGGCGAAGGGAGTGGAGGGGGGGGGGGAGCGTCCTCAGCGCGCCCGCGCCGCGGGGCTCCGGCCAGCAGGGGTCGCTGCGGCCCGTTCTCCCGGGAGCGGCCGAGCCAGCCCGGTGGGTGTTTCTCTCTCTCTCTCCTCTCTCTCTCTCTCTTGCTCGCTCGCTCGCTCGCTCTCCGCTCTCCCTCTCGCGCTCTCTCCTCCCGGGCCTCACATCCGGGTCTGGAGCGCGGCCGCCGCCGCTGTCAGTGCCGGGCCCGGGGCGCCGTCAATGGCGGCCGAGGGAGGCGGAGCGGCGGCCACGCGCAGCCCG